ATAACTCTCTTACTTTTGTGTATCAATTTGTTTACTCAATTCATTTCATTTACTGTAAAATAAATTGCTTCTCTTGAATAAATATAATCATGTTTTTCGTAATTACGTTCCTATATGAATTATAAATACAGAAATTCTAGTTTGATCTTGCTGTTATAGGCATTCAAGATTCAAGTAAATACTTGTTACCTAATTTATTGATTAAATGAAATGAAAAATAATTTCATTTATAATTTTCTCTGGAAAATGCAAGTTTAGTTAGGCTTTCGGATGTTTTAAAATAAAAACGGATCATGTTTTCGTTTACAAACCCGTACCTAGAGGAATAAAACCCAGATTCGAAAACAATATTTTTAAAATTTTTAAAGGCACGTCCAGTTTAGCTTAGCATGGTTCAACCTTGGAGCTTAGGATCCACCTTTTAGTAAATGCTTGGTAAGGCGATTTCACACCAACACATGGCATGGTCGGCGACTCATCAATCTCTGTNATGCGCGATCTTCAACAAACGTTTTGTTTATTTGTTTACATTACGATGTTTATGTTTTTTCTGCAAGATATTTTTGGCGGAAACGGTAAAGCAATGCGGATTGCGGAAGTTGAAAATTTTATGAAATGACATGTTTGCGAAGTGCAAACCACGATTTTTTAATCAAACAAAAATATTTGACATTCGAGCCGCGAGATTTCATACCTACTGAAATTATATGATATTAGAGCCGCAATATTTCAGACAAAAATAGGACTTTTCCAGACTAGAGAACCACTAGGTATAACAAATTGTATAACTTATTACTAGAGCATTGAAAATCAATTTAAAATTTTTAAAAGTACCTAATAAATCTGAGGGAAAGAATTCTTATTTAACTATTAGAGGAATAGAATCTTTTCTCTACCTAGGAGGCTAGGCAGGCTGGCAGCGGCCTGCTGCCAGCCTGCCACCCTAAACTATATTTGAAAATTATTTCTTATTACTGAAATTTTGTGGCTACAATCCTACAAAACTGAATTTTTCAGGATTAGAAAAAACCTACTATTAAGTCTATTTTCCATAAATTGTTGTTTCTCCGATATCAAATCATTTTGGTCAATTTGGTGTATTGATCAGTGATCACTAATCAGTGAGTTCTGCAACAATAGATTTTTTTAGAAACAAGGTCAATTTTTATAGGCTTTAAACATATGGTTTTTTTTTATTGTTTATCAGGAATATTCTGGGGACTGGGATCTAGCTTATAATTTATAAATGTGTATTCCAAAAAAATTCTGAAGTGAGTCAAGTGACCCAGTGGGCCAGTGTGTAGGGTAAACAGGGTCTATTCCAACATCATGGGTAATTCTGACACTTCTCAACTTTTTTTCTCTATATTAAGCTTTGTCGTAATTCCATGCATTCGTTGATGGTTGAAATAGTGACGTCATACTATTGCGCGCCATACTATTGCCAAAACACTAGGTCTGGGCCGTCTGGCGGGAAATTATTCAGATCCAAAGAGAGACAGTGCGTGTCACCAGTGATAACATCAAAAAATGTGTCAAAGTTGATAGTTTACCTTACTCTACCAAATAGTGATAAACTGTTTGTGTAGAAAGAATTTATGGTTTGAGACTTTTAAATAAGTCTGTGAATATATTAGGAATCCTTTAAGTATACTTGTATTTGCTGATTTCAAGTGGTAAAAAAATTAATAGATGATTAAGTTAAGAGACGTTTTTAGACACATGAAAAATAATTCTGACATAGCTTGAAATTACACAAACACCTTGTTCCAAGCTGTGTGCAAAAATTTAAATTTTCTTAATTAAAAGCTTAACCCTTAACTACCCGAATTTCTAGGACACAAATAGTAAAATTCCCTTTTTCAGTTTTTAGTCTCACCTTAAAGCTGACATTCTGACCTATCCAATGGTACCAAAATCATCTCTGTACGTTGATTTATGCCTTGACGACAGTTTGCGAAAGGTTTAGGGGTGGGGGAGTTCTTTCACATTTAATATAGGCGAAAATTACCAGCCGGGCACATAAATAGATGACCGGAAGACGCTGATCTTTAGTTACCCAGCTACTGTTGTGTGGGATGGAGCTCATGCAGTCATTCCCACCATCCTTGACTGACTTTCAGCTCCAGTAATGTCTAGTCTTGTATCCATGCCACCTTGAATGCCTATTTCGAGGGGCTTGGGACTTTGTCGCGCCCTACTGAACATTCACACTTATTGTCACTGCAAACCTATCTCCTCCTAGAGCTTTTAAGCTATAGCAATGAGTAATATACCGTTTGATTGGCAAATAAAAGATCTAGAGATTGGTTGTAGCTTTTTTTCAATTTTGTTATAGTTTTGAAAATATTTTGAAAAAAGTGGAGGGAAATTCAAAAGGGTGGGGGGAAAAATCAAATTTTTTTAAAAATGCCCATCCCACCCACAAAAATTAGAATTTCGAAAAACAGCAAGGACCAATTGATAGATATGGTCCTTACGCATCAAATGATATGCATCTCGATGTTGTAGCTTGAAAATCCTACAAGGAGATAGATTTCTACAGTACCCCCTTTTTGGTGGGTACTGTAGAAATACAGTGTGGGTACTTTTTTGCCTGATGTAACGTTCATGCCAATTGCCAAGCCCAATTTCTGACAGCCTACAAACCTGTTTCTAGTTGCCTGGAATGTTTTTTTTAAGGCGGAATGCATTTTTTGAGTGAACCACTAATCTTAGTATTCCATCCTGATTCCTATGATGCTCATTATTACTGCCTGCTGCTGCTATAGAATTAAATTAAAAATTAAATTTTAATAGATAAATTTAATTATTTAATACACTACATGGTACATGCCTAAGTGCTCAATGATTTATACCATGCAATAATTGCTTCTTCTAAACAACAAACATTTTCTAAAAGACTTGAGACATTTGTAAACTTGCAATGAGACAAAATCATTCAGAATCTGAAGTGAAGTTATTTAGACAACATCAACAAAATAGTACAAAAACATGAAAAAATTCAAATCTGGACACATACCTATCAATATGTGTTTAAATTTTGAAACAACTTTCCTTCATTTAAATCTCAGTGTGGAATGTGGATCAAATCTATTGTGAAATCAAACTTGACATTACCAATATAAGGTACCTATGGGACACTGTCTTGGCGATGGTGTCTTGTAATATGTTAACATCACAGCACAATGTGCCATACACCATGAAAGATTGGCAGTTTATCCTATCATTTTGTGTGGTTTCAAAAACTTTGTTGGTATGGAGGAAATTGTGAGAATTTTCTGCAAAAGTTGACATAATTTTTAGAACCTATTCATAGCAAAAATTTGTCAGCTATGTAAGCAAGTAAGGCATAGCTGACCCGGTATCAGATTCCAAACCATGCGCGATATCATAACAGTGGCAGTTCCTGATTAGCTCAGTGTATTAATTTTCACTTCAGTGGAAGGTGTAACATTGTAGGCTTTTTGATCCATTTTCTTATATAAACATGAGAATATATTGCCTATCCAGAATTCCACACTGACTGCAATAATTGTGCAGCTGTGTTCCAGGTTTCACAGTACATCAAAAGAGTCCTTGAAGTTGCAATAGTGTCTCAATGATAATTTGGTAGTTATCCACATGCCAGTTATTAACTTGTTAGTTGCCAAGTTTTATCTGTTGTTACCAGTAGTTGTTATGTTTCCAGTCATTAGGTAACTTAAATATTAAAACTTTAGCCATTAAAATATTAAAAAGAACAGGAACTTTAATTATTAGTACAAAGGGTGTTGTAAATGAATTGAACTCCAAGTTTAATTTAAAAACGGATTTAATTCAAACCAGCCATGCTTTGTTTGCCTCAGAGCTGCCATTTTTTGTATATAAATGACCATAAATATAATGCATAATCAAGCATAAACATTTTTTAAAACGGGGAGCATGCACATTTCTTGTGAGTTTAATAATTTTTACTTAAAAATTTAGTTCTATTTTTAACTTTTTTTATCATGCATGTTCTGTTATAAAACTCATTAACAGCATTTCACCTCTTTGTAACTTGCATTGAATAAATTTCAGTGCTGTAAACTTTATGCAACTTTGCTTAAAAACAATTTTGCATTTTATACTATTTACTGATCAATAAAACATTTACTTGTGCTTCCTTTCAAAGAAAATGTTTCATAAATGAACTGAGACCAACATTCTAGTTGGGCTTGTAGAGAACCTAGAAATTACGACTTTTAAATAAANGCAAATGCTGTGCAGATCTTAGTAAAATCACAAGCAAGAACTCCCTTAAACCTTTTACCTACATTACATGTGTTTAGATCATAAATTTTTTTTCAATTTCTGCTTCATTCCTAAGTTATTAAGCTGCTCATCAGATATTTTTGCAACTGATCATCCAAGTCACAGTGACCAAAAATATTCCCAAACTGCATAACTGATTTCAATGAAACCTTGTACTCAAACTTCTGAGAAACTCCCGCTGTTGTGTTTAGGTAGTGCTTTTTTGTGGATTTTAACCTCATTCACAAGTTCTATAGTAATTGGGGATTACAAGATGGTTTACGAAGTGCCTAACCTCAGTCCATGCTAATGTAATCTTGGATTTGAATGTAAACCATTTACCATTGTACTGCCCATGCAATAATTCTACCTTGTAACATGTAAACTTGGTCAAAATTATAAAAATCACACAACCTGATCATTAGCCAAAGAGCACAAAGAGTTTTTGCATAAAGTTTCAGCAAAAACTGTTGAATTATTACTCAAAAAATTTTATTAAATCAGCTTTTGCAAGTTGTAGGTACATTAAAAATTTTAAATTTACTCTCATTGCAAAAATTGCCCTTTTGCAAGAATATTTTAAAGGTAAAAGAAAATGAATCCAGAAAATATCATTAAGTCTTCATTTAATCCAAGCAGCTCATGATGTAAATCATGAGGTTCCTAATTCCTATAATGAATGACTTTAATGTGGAATCGTCTTGTGGCTAATTTGTCATTTTTACATGTGATAATTTCAGATTTAACCCCCCTCCAATCATGGCTAGCAAAAGCTCTGACATAAAAGTTAGTAAGAAAAGAAAAAGGGCTAGCAATAATGATGCTGCAGATCCTGTTCCAACCAATAATAAACTGGCCTTCCATCAAATGGGTATTGATGACAGAATTCTCATGGTGAGTACCTTTTCCTGGTTTGCCTGTGAAATAAACCTTTTCAAATTATATTTAACAATTTCCAGCAATTATTCTTGAATTTGAGATTTACCTATAAAATTGCTGTGAATTATTAGAAACTATGCTCTATTCAATCTCTAAAAGATTTTTTTAGAATCTTGTATCTAGTTTATATTATTATTTTTTTTTTAGTTATATGGCTCTGTGGAGCTTTTGTTAGCAAAAAATTGCAAGTTTCTTGTATATAACAATGATTACAAAATAATCAAGTTTGTGTAAATTGGCATTAAAATAGGCCTTTGTGTCTAAAGATCTCCCATTTGTTGCTCATGAAGCTATTTTCATGGCTTCTATTTGTTTGCATTTTTTGATATGCACAAATTAGAGCAATGAAAACTGGGCAATAAAACAAATGTGTTGTAGTGATGTCACAGATAAAATATTTCAAGTACTTGTATTTGCTGGTATTCATTCATCAGTCTTTTTTGACACTTGATTTATTGCTATTTAGACTACAGTGTTTTTCTCAAAACTTTCCAAACAGCTCAGTGTAGAAATTTTTTTGATGTTACTTGTAATAATTCTCTCATTGCATCAAAGGGCATTGCTGAAATGGGTTGGAAAGAACCCACTCTCATTCAAGAAAGAGCTATTCCGCTCATGTTGACCGGCAAGAGCATCATGGCGCAGGCTAGGACCGGGTCTGGGAAAACGGCCGCTTTTTTGGTGCCTCTCATGCACAGGATGCTCTTCAGTAAGAACACAGCCACTTCTCAGGTGTGTTGGCATCTTTTTATGTACATTTAACTCTATCATACTATTGATTTTCTTCTCTTTTAATAAAATATGCCCCTTTCAGTTATTTATTTTTATTTCATTCTATTATGACCTTGCTCATTCATCCTTAGATTTTAAAACTTATTTTGTTCCTATACCATTGCATAAGTAGGTACCTACTTCTTTGTCTGATCATTTCTTGCTTAAAAATTTCTATAATATTCACAAAATACATTTTTTTTAGCCATTTTATTTCCAAATTTGACACTGTGTGCAAATTAATATTTTTTCAGTCATACTAAGGAAAATATGCATCATAATCATCATGCTGTCTGAGGGCATTCCTTACAATTATGACTTCTTTTGGTGTATATCCTTTGTTTTTATAGAATCATTTGGGTAAAAAGTGGGATAGAAAATAACAATCCTGCAACTCAAGATCTATTATTTATCTTGCCCATGTGTTGTCAAATTTATTCTACCTGTTGACCTCTTCATGGGTATTTGTATTTACATTTGCAATCACTATACACAGTGCACACACACATAGGTATATATATAAGCATAGGTGATTATTCACTAAGCTACTATTGACTTTTTTCTTAACCAGAAATAAAAAATGTATAATCCTATTGCATCTTGTATTTTACTCTATAAAAAATCTGAATAGAAAGAGAATGAGGCAGTCTTCACTGTTAATAAAAAAGTGAAGACTGCCTTCTTATTCTTAAGGAAAAAGGGAAAATTAGACTTTTTGTAACAATAAAAATCCTAAATGGTAATCCCCTTCAAGCCCCTATATATTTGTCAACCCCTTGAGCTTTATTGTTGATGCCAGGGTTCCATTTTGACTGCCTTGCTGACCCATGTCACTTGCTCAAGCCACATATCACATGTTCACGTATCCCTTACCCCTATCACCACTAATGACTATTGTGATGTTTTTATATACCAGTGCACAAGGATGCTGGTGTTGGCTCCCAGCAAGGAGCTGTGTCAACAGATCAGCAACATGGCTGCCCAATTAGCCATAGGCTGTAGTCGTGAGCTGCGGGTGCTTGACCTGTCTCCGCAGCTTCCTGTGGAGCACCAGCGCCCACTCCTGGCAGGTAAGCTTTCTTTTTAATGCATTTTCTCATTTATGGAAAAAATGCACTACTGTGCTTGCCATGTCTGTCCGTCCGTCTGTCTGTGACTTCACGTTTTTGTCGATGAGATAATGTGCGCTCTGTCACACACTGCAGTGAGTACCTACTGAGTTATATTGTTTTGACTATGACAACAATAATGATCTTTTTGTGGTGCAGCAAGAACATCAAGCTAACCTTTACTGCTGCATGTGCTCATGTGTTGTATACCAGTGTTCTGCTACAGATGTTAGTCATGCATTTTTGCATATAACTGAATTGGTTTCATGTATTGATGTTTTCATTGAAGTGATTCACCATTTCATCTCTTTTAAAACAAGAAAGATTCAATCATATTCTTTTCTGCAGTGTTTGACTGTTGCAGACAATGTTTTTGCAGGCCATCTCATGTTCTGCAAGATAATTATACTTTTGCTATTTTTGTGCTTGTTTTTTTTTTTTTTAATGTGACACTTGTTGATAATATAAGCCTTCTCTTGAGAATGATTATTAGTCTAAATTTCTCATTTCCTTATTCACTATTGATTATCTGGCAAAGAAACTGCATCCCAATTCAATTCATACTTCATTCAATTGCATACTTATTACTTGAGCTTTTCTCACATTTCCAGGATTGGTAAAATTTGACAAATTAACTCACATTTACCTATAAAGATGACATTAAAATAAACAGCTAGACTTTTCATGATGCAGGATCTATTATTACGTACATTACATGCTATTACGATTTTATCAAGAACAGCTGTAGGTAATACGCTTAACTGTTGCATGTATACCATCCAGAGTTGTATTAACCTCATGTAACTTCATCAAAACAATAATCATAATAGCCTCTAGGACTGCACTAAACAGAGTTGATAATTTCCCCAGACTTGTACCAACTTCACATAAACTAAATTAACCTACTACCTATTTTTCACAAAACTCAACCAAAACAATCATTAAACCACTCTGCATAACAAAATATTATAATATTGGGCTCCAAATAACCCTACATGTTTTCTCCAGAGCTTCCTGACATGGTTGTGGGGCCTCCTCGTCGTGTGTTGGCCCACGTTCAGGCGAAGTCTCTCTCTCTCGACAACATCGACAGCATCGTGATTGACGAGGCCGATCTCATGACAGCTTATCAACACAGTGACTCCCTCAAACAAATCTGGAGGTGGGTAAATTTTGGCTTTAATGCGGAGCTATAGCTTGGCCTGGGACTGCTATGCATGTAACATTAAGGTTTGATTCACACTATACTGCCGGGCATGTGCCAGGTATATACCAGTCTCGGTCCGTTCCTTGCCAGGTATATTCAAATGTTGAGTCCGGTCACGCGCCGTCTTCACTTCAGTTCTTTTCGTTCAGTTTGTTTTACAATGGCCATGCCAGTCATGTCCCGGTCAAAATATCTTTTGCCTTTATCGTGGCCGGACCGTGCCTGGCAGCGCAGGTGCCTAGAACGGCTGGTGTGAATGTTTATACGGAAATGCATTAAAGAATATTGGACAGGATGCACCCTATGGTAGCTCGTTGTTACAATACCACTGTAGAGGCTGCTGTTGGCGGTATTGTAACGCCGCTGTAGTCAAAGTCGGCCGCTGGAGTTTGAGCTTTCAAACGCATTTCATGTCACTTGGTTCCGTGTTAACTATTAAGGTGTTGATTGTTACCATCCTTGCTTCTAACAAATGGTTTTGGTTGTTACTTACTGGCAGATCATGAAAAAAGTTTATCCAGAAATACCGCTTATCAGAGTATAGATAATTTTTGGCTTGCTTCGAAAACAATAGCATGAAAACATTTCTCTGTGCTGCATTTAGTTCATTCCATTAGATCTTGTACTTCACTTTTCGATCGCAGTAGTTCAGCTTTCTCATTTAATTTAAAAGCTTGCTACTACATTCGATTTGAAATTGAAAAATAGATCAACCTATATTATCACTCGTGCTGATTTAAAATCAATGATTATTTCTTTTAAGAATCAATAGTAGTAATTTATTTTCAATCACTGCCCCTGACACTTACAATTTAAGTATAAAAATATCTAACTGAGAAGTTCCTACTTATAGTGACAGTATCTTGAAGTTTCTTGGTTTAACCTCTCTGAGTTGTTCTTGATTCCAACTCGCCTATCCTTGTTTTAGGAAAAAAAATGTCATTGCTTTCTGAAGAAAAATTTGTTTTTCAAGAGACCAATTGTTTATTTGCAGCCAAGTGCCCAGTGTGTGCCAGTTCTTCATCACGAGCGCCACACTGTCGAGCAGCTTATTGAACATCAACAGCTTGCTCTTCGCGGACGAGCAAAACAGACTTCGCAACACAGTCGTCTTGAGGCTCAAAGAGCCTCCTCTGCCTCCTGCGTCTCATCTTGGACAATACGTTATCAAAGTCAGCGCTGTTTGTTTAATTCAGAGTACTCTTATATATAATTATTCAATTTAAGTGCATTTCTTAGGTTTCTTCAATTCTATGAGAGCTTTAATTTGTTAGCACTGCTAATTTCTGATGTTTGTTAAGACCAGTCTACAGACTATTATGTATGTAATAATATATTATAATAATAAAATAATATAAAATATTTGCATATTACACATTTTTCAAAATGCACTTGTTTCATTAACTATTTTTTAACTTGCAGATCGAGGAATTTCAGAAGATGCTGGTCCTGTTTTATTTGTTTAAATTGAAGAAAATAATGGGCAAGACTATTGTTTTTGTGAACTCAATCAACAAAGGCTACAAGCTTCGTATGGTGCTGGGTCAGTTCGGCATCGCGTCTTGCCTGTTGAACAGTGAGCTTCCCTGGGCTTCACGCTGTGATATCATCTCTCAGTTCAACGCCGGTCACTACGACATCATCATAGCTACCGACGACGCTGCTGCACTCGGCAAAAAACCTAAAAATAATGTCAATCTCAAAGGGTACGTCGAAATACTACGTCTTCCCATGTCAATACAAAAAATAATTGGGTAATTTACTGGAAATTATTATAAACTGGAAGGATAAATCAAGCGCTTTCACTGTTTGCTTTACAACAGAACAGAAAACAACTTGCTAATTAAAGGATACGCAAGTCAAAAGTAGTCACGCGTTTGCGTGTAAATGAAGCAAATAGTATTTCAATATCAAAAACAAAGTTGAAAATATTATTTAAGTATAATAAATATTAAGTATATTTTATAACTAAATTCGCCTGTCAAATACAAGTTGAATTTTAATTTTATTCCTGCTAAATATATTCAATAGATTTCTTGACTTTTAAGTAGCAAATGTGAATCTAAACCTTACTCCATTTCATGGGTTCGGCAAACGAGAAAAAAAAGTGTTAAGTAATTCACAAATGAATTCTTTGTATCGCAGTCAGGTGTCAGCAGCTTATCATATCACCCCAGGATGATGTTTGCTTAACAAAGACCGTTAAAAAAATTCACATCAACTTTTTACAGTAACATAAATTTAATGATGCAATCCTCGAATCAACTGTTGTAAAACATGTCAATAAGATTTCTGCTCTTTAGTTATGACATTGTATTATATAATAATTATATATTCATTATATTATTACTGATTGTTCGACTAGCATGGAAAGTGACGTCGAGTCTGGTACGTCCCGAGGCCTGGACTTCCAATCGGCGAGCAACATCATCAACTTCGACTTCCCTCCCGACGTGACTTCGTACATCCACCGCGTGGGGCGCACGGCGCGAGGCACGTGTGAGGGCACGGCCGTGTCGATGGTGTCCGTGGATGAGCACAACACTTATCTCAAGGTAGCCGCGTGTCTCAGCAACATGATGAACCCCGTCGCCCGGCACAAGAAATCAACGAGAACAAACTCTGATGGCGTCTTCCAGGCCTACGATCTCGACATGTCGCTGCTTGAGGATTTCGAGTGAGGGAAAATTCTAGGAACGTTGTCCTGCGTATTTGATGTGTACACGTTAGTTTGTAGGCCATTGATGAACTTGTGAACCTCTTTTCCACCGATTAACTGACTCGGATATATTAATTTTTTGCTATACCAAAGTTGAATAATTTATGCACTCTTCAATTAAGTAAAGACGTCAACAATCCAAAAGGTTATTTCATATGCATATTAGTACATTTGATTAACCTACTTAAATTTATAAAGTATGTAAATTATCCTAAACATTATTTCACATGCATATTAGAACGTTTACCTTAAAGTCCCGTATTAAAAGTGTCATTAACGAGGACGGCGCTCGCAGGTACCGCTTACAGGACGTGTGGCACTCGTGCACTGACGGGCTGGTGCGACAGGCGCGTCGTAAGGAGATCGCCTCTCAGCTCCTCAACTCCAAGAAGCTTCTCGCGTACTTCCAGGACAACCCCGGCGACATGAAGCTCCTCAGACACGACAAGCGCGACCACGGCCTAAAAACTCAGGTACAAAGCCAAAAAATGTTAGTGGCGGTTTATTAACAACCAATTAGCAGGTGTTTTGTTCTCATAACCCTGCTCTACTTACTGCAAATTAAAATTTAAATTAAATGCAGCCCACGTACAATCCAATTGTTAAATCATTAAAATAAAATAAATTTCTATAATAAAATAAATTAATAAAATTAATTTCTACCGGCGAAGCTTCATTACAAAATTTATTAATGTTCATCAAGATCTTGCAACTTGCTCGAGCAATTTTTCATCGATGTTTACTTTTTACACCGTAAAATTATTTTAATCTTGACATTTTTCGCAGAGCCACTTACGGAACATGCCGAGCTACATGTTAGCGGGCAAGCAGGGGGGCGGGGATGGGGGCATCAAGAGACAAGCCGATCAAGGCAGGCCGACCACCGCGGCCTCTGCCTCCAAAAAACGTCCATTCAAGAAGAAAAAAATCAACGACCCAATAGCTGGAGCCACTGCCACGCAAAAAAGATTCATGGTCAGTCACTATTTTTAACATCACAACTATTTTAGTGCGGTACTCGTGTCCTTTTTCTATTGTGTATTGTTTATACGATCTAATATTACGACCTGTCATTCATGTTCAATAATTTTGATATAATAAACTATTCAATGCGTCTGAAAGAGTACAATTGCATTGAAAAAAATTGTAGCAAATATCCATGTAGGGATTACAGTGAAATGAAGGAAATTCCTTCTCTATAGATTTATTTAGAATACTTTGGAATTAATGACTCTGATTTATAGTTATCAGTTTTTGAATCTTTTTGTGTACGAGAGTTGTGATTGTGTGACCTTTCCAGGCTAAGAAACTAGACCCGCTTCGCAGCATGGAATTCAAGGGCTTCTGACATCGACACGAACTGGAATAAATTTTGATGTATCTTAAATTTTATTAATTTCCTTCGGCAAAAGCTTATTCATCTTATTTTCAAAACAATTTCCCGTTGTAGAAGCTTATGTCACTCGTCCAAAGAATTTGTATGCTTATTTTTACGTTTCATCAATTTTGTGGACAAGAACTAATGTTTTGAAAGATTTTTGATATTTGCAGCATGCACCTAATATCTATGCTACTGATATTGATCCAATGTTAGAATTAATATTCAATTTTTCAAAATTCTAGTCTGATTACTTTTTCAGCCGTTTCCTCTTAGGTCATGCTTTATTAACGACTTCATTATTTGATCGTTTCCTCTTTGAAGGTTCGCATACACTCACACTATTGCCCGAGAGGAGCAAATTAGCCTTATTTTTTTTATGAAGTGGCATTGCTATCAAACAGCGTTAAATCGTCAACAAGTTCAAAGGGCTGGAAGGCTCCTCCGTCTAGTCAAGCGCACTCGTCAAAAACGATCGCTCCATCATTTACATCTTTCTAATAAGCATAAAAAAAGCTTCACTTGTTACTGAAGAATAGACTCATTGATAAGAGCAAGCAGGATATGTTCGGCATGAGTCATTATCTAGTGATACAAAGACTGATATGGAGGCTTCAAGAGATAAGACACGTCGCACAGCCCTAAGCTCTATTTTTCAGAAATGCGTTAGTTCTGTGAGACGAGGAGAGGTTAACGGTTACGGTCGAAACATACTGAAATTTTTACATTACCTGATACATAACATTTATGAAAAATATTCAATAGTGCACTAAAGAAATTTTTAAACAATTCCTGCTGTCTACAACAGTTTTTCTCGACGTTTAAGTGAACACAATCCAGACTCAAACGTCCCATACTGGGTAAAAATCTAGTTGAATAAACGCTTCGACTTGGACTGATGAAATAACGAATACACAGACTAGGAAAATATTTTCCGTTTCGTAAGCATTCTTTTCCTCTGTGACTTTGAATAAGTTAATCGGTTGTTACAAGAGACCTAAAGGATGGCATGGTTACTCATAACTGCGCTGTTAGTTCGGCTCTTCGCTCATAGCGGAGCGTCTATGATCGAGCCCGATCTGTGCTCGACATCGTGCGAGTGTCTGCAGGGATTGCCTTTCGTCGTCGAATGCAAAAACGACGACCTCTCTCAGGTATGTTAGCGAAAATAACTGACTGCTTTGTTTGATTAGAAATTTTTTTTCGCGGTCTGGCACATGATGTCATTACCATTACACGAGTTCGAGTGCTGAGTTTGCTTTTAAAACTTTGATTATTCAGCAAACGCTTAGTACATCATGAGAAAAATTGTCGAACTATTTCAGATTCCTCATCTAGAAGCAGAACCGTACCCATTCGAATGGGCTTTATTTTTTGACGTCAACAAAATCAGCAAGATTACAGCAATGCCGACCACGGACAATCTCATCCTACTGTCTTTCAAGTGAGTTGATTGAGTAGGTTTCTCGAGACCGCCGTACGTGCATCCGAAGTTTGTCGCCAGTTATAAAATAGGTTTTCCTTTGATTAATACCTCAAAATTAATAAGTTACCCTCGTATTGTGCTTATAATTAGGTGATCTATTGTATCTCACTACCATTACCATTAATTGAATTGAAATATTTCAAATATTAAATTAAAAATATTTAAAATATTAAATTAGAAATATTAAATAGAAATATTTCAAATAGAAGTTTCATATCGGACCTTCATATTGCACTCAGCCTTTGGTTATAAGTGACAAGTACAAATAAGATGATTTCTGAAATAGGGGATGAACAAACACTGGTCACAAGACTTCGACTAACTTTTTGATCAAACTTGACAGTGACAATCCCATCCTCGAGATTGAAGACATGGCCTTCGCCAACCTAACTAAACTCAGGCGGCTGACGCTGAAGCAGTGCAGCCTTACAGGCGACGTCTTCACCCTCGACGCCTTCAAAGGTGGGTCTGAAACAGTACAACGCACAATTAAAAACTTTTACATTGATTATTTTTTACTTCGAGGTAATTTGTTACAAAGTTAGTAGGAAATTACTAATTCGGAAGGGGATGAATGTTAAGAGAAAAGCTACTCGTACGGGGTGCGCCATTTGAACGTCTGCCTGCATTACCGACATTTTGCATCAAACACACCACCATTAGATATTGAAATAATTTATGGAGTATCTCCTATCTCTTTCAGGACCAAGGAACGAAGAAGATGGAGCCGATCCTTTGCCTTTGGAATATCTCGATGTTAGCCACAACGATATACAGTCATTGGGCGACCACGCGTTCCGCCACTTCGATAACCTGAAGACTTTGATAATTTCTGACAACCCCTTCCATGACTTTGACGATACGACCAGCAAAGCTTTTGGTGAACTCATTGGCGTGCAAACGCTCGACCTCTCACGCGTGCAGATCAAACGCATACCAGAAAAATTCTTCAGCCGAATGAGGTCATGTTTCCCTGATAAGGCTTTGTTTAGTGCAGAAAAACCAAGCAGGAATCCATTGTATCCATACCCATTAGGACTAGGTTGAGCTGCGGCATCCTCATCGAATTGGGAAACTAACAACGAATTTGCCGCGAAAAGAGTTTCTTCTATATTTGTAATTCATGCAGTTAACTCTTTCCATTCAAGTAACATTTGTTCCAATTTATTCCAGACCTGATTGAGTAGTAATACAGAATATAGTGAAATTATGACTCATTGAACGAATGCAAATCTGACTCATACGTAACAAGATTTTCCTTACCACAGGCAATTGAAGGAGCTCATCTTGGCCGGGAATAACTTCATGGTTGTTCCCGATGAAGTCAACTACATCCAATCCCTAGAACGCCTCGTACTCGACAACAACCCAATAAAGGTGAGTTCCAAGTACCGGCACCAAATGATCAAACCTAGGAATGTATGGACGAGACCGTATAACAGCTTTTTCCATAAACGGGTTACAAGAAAAAAAACACCGCGTAGCGTATTTTATTATAATTAAAAAATTCGTTATTGAGAGCTTTTTGTGTTTTACAAGAACTTCTCGGACGCCGATAGATATATTTAGTAATTATTATCTGTGCGGATTTCTCTTCAGTAATATAACTCATGCTACTTGGATATATGGGACATGCATTCGTGTTATGTGTCTTTTTCAGCACTCCTATAATTTATTCACATTATTGTGTGTCTCCTAATGCAGGTGTTGTCTAAAAACGATAAATCCTACTTCCACGGTCCATCTCAGCTGTCGCAACTGCACTTGTCCTACATGCCTGACTTGAACAAAATCGATGCTGAAGCATTCTATAATTTGGACAACCTCAAAGTCGTTACTATCTCCTACAACCCGAACCTCAACTTCATACACAAGATGGCATTTGCATCCAGCGGAATACACTTGAAGAAAGTACGTTCAAAAAATGCCATATAGATGCAAGTACTATAACAGTGCCGGAAATGGCTATACGACCACCCAATTTTCTCCAAATATTTTTTCTTGCACAAAAAATACGGGATTCTAATTATACGAGGTTAGACTACGTTTAAAACGTTTCCGAGGATATGTGAAAAAAATAATTTTCTCAAAATATATGAGAAGAAATTATGAAAATTATAAAAACCTAGGTGGAAATGGTTATAAGACCAAGAAATGTTTTAATCCATTTTGGTATCTTTCTGTAATATTTTCACTTTAAAAAGTACAGCAATATAAAGAATATATTGATTTTCGTCATTTAGGGCCTTTCTGGTGAACTTCTGGTGTCGTTCAGTGTCCTTGAATATTACTCTGTTTGCCGTGGCCGGCGCTTAGTCCTAACCTCAACCCCATTGAAAACTTATGGGGCATCATGGCGAGGGATGTTTACCAAAATGAGCGCCAGTTCAAATCTGTGAGTGACCTGAGCACAGCTATCCTTCGTTCTTGGGATAATATTTCTCAAAAGACACTGGATTATATGGTAAATAGCGAGGGGAGAAGATGCATTGCGGTAATTATGGCGAAAGGAGGTGAGATTGCCTATTAAAACGAGTGTATGTGATCCACAAACGGGAAAACATATCTTGGTCTTATAACCATTTCCACCTAGGTTTTTCTAATTTTCATAGTATCTACTCATATATTTTGAGAAAATTATTTTTTTTTCGCATAGCGTTGGAACCGTTTTTAAGCGCAGTTCAACCTCGTATAATTAGAATCTCAATTTTTTTTGTGCAAGAAAAAATATGTGGAGAAAACTGAGTGGTCGTATAGCCATTTCCGGCACTGCATACAATTTTAGGGAACTTAGTCAAGTAAATTTGTTCTCGATAATACGAATAACGCATGCAGTTCAGATAGTTCGACTTTTTATTCTCGTTGATTAAAACGAACATTTCCCTTCAGGTTCACCTGAACAACAACAACTTGGCAGTCTTGGACAATGAGCTTCTGGACTGGGCCGCCCTCGAGGAGATCGACATCCAGAACAATCCGTGGGTGTGCGACTGCAGGATCGTTTGGTTCACCAAAGAACCACTGGAGAATTTGAACGCAAATAAACCTCAACTCACAGAGTACATCATGTGAGTTATATCTTTTGTTAACATCAAGATAAATTACATATTGTGATTTATCTTGCTTGCTTTGGGACTTATACCCCTCAGGGGGGACTTCTGACGTGTGTCTGTTCTCGTCGGAAGTTCTATGGGACTTCGCGCTCCTAGGGGGATTGTTCCTGAGCGCCCCAACGCTGAGCTCGCGGTGTCTGACTGCAGATCTCAGTTGTGGGGTTGTTATTGTGTAGGTAGGATTCCTTACATTTCCCTTCTCTGTCTCTCTCGTGCGGGTGGCCGACGTCCCGGGTAAGCGACCTCTCGTCTTAGTTTCTGTTGCTTTTCACCTGTCCCTCCTTGTCACTTCGTCTCTTTGAGAAGCTAACGCTGCTTCTTTCGAGCCAGCTTCAGCTGGCCGGACAATTGAGACCTTCCGCCCCTTGTGGGTGATGACCAATTTTTTATTTGAGAAACTTTTGATAATTGAGACCCTCCATCTCTTTGGTGATGTTCAATAACATATAACATAACATATTGATCTTGGCGCTGAAGTGTAGGCCTGATGTGGCCTGTCGCCGATTCTTTTCCTTTTTGTGCCTTGTTCACAGAAGATCTAAAATCGTGTCATTTGACCGGATCTTTTCATGACTGACGATAGTTTGAAGTAGCTACTAGACTTCCACCGGGTTCGATAAGGAGCTAGGCATTTCAAATCTGAACATATATTTTTCCATAGCTTTATCTAGTCTGTTCTTGAACGCGTTCATACTTGGAGCGCCAACGATGTCATCGGGGAGGCTGTTCCACATGTCGGTGATTCGAAGCGAGAAGAAATTTTGTCGCGTGGAGAAGTTGCAGCGCAATTTTTTTAGCTTATAGCCGTGGCCCCTGGTGTTGGTTCTTGTTTCAAATTCTAGTAACCCTTCAGGGACCTTGTATAGACCATGAGTATACTTGTATACTTCAATGAGGTCCCCACGCAGACGTCGATAACTGAGGCTTGGAAGCTTCATAATCTTCAATCTTTCTTCATAGGACTTGCCCTTCAAGCCTGGAATTATCCTTGTTGCACGTCTTTGAACATTCTCTATTAAATTTCTGTCCTTTTCGAATCTCGGTGACCACACAACGTTTCCAAACTCTAGACTCGGGCGTACGACGGCAACAAACAACTGCTTCATCGTTTCTGCATCTAGGAACTCGTATGAGCGTCTGATTAGTCCAAGAAGTTTGTTGGATGTGTTAGCTTGCGTTTCAACATGCTTAGAAAATTTCAGCTCCTTGTCGACATAAACTCCGAGATCTTTTTCCACACTAGACTTTTCAATCATTACTCTCTCGTTGCAACCATGTCTTCTCATACTGTAATCTTGCTGTTCATTGTTCTTCCCGAGGTGAAGTACAGTAGTACTTTTACACTTGTCAGCATTAAACCGCAGCTGCCACCACGTATCAGCCCAGTTAACTAAACTGTCAAGATCATCTTGTAATTGCTCTTTATTTGACGCATCCAACATGACTTTTGGTGCGAGATAGCTAAACAGCTGAAGCGCCAGTAAACATGTGGCCACTAAACTAACTTGGGGCTTATATTCAGGAATGCTTTGGGATCTGAAACTATTGCCATCAGGTCCACATCGGACACCCGGCTTCTTATTCTATTCTTGAATAAGGACTTAGATTGCTCGATTTCAGTAATGCGATCAACGGAAACACTAACCAAACCTTTGACGTGCAGATGCGCCAAGCCCAACGATGCTACCGGACAATCGCTACCATATCTGGCTAGCCATGACTATGCATTCAAGTGCCCTGAGATTGAGAAAGTCACGAACCCATACTACTACGGACCTCTCATCGTCACCACAATATTCGTCGGGGCCTTGCTGCTGCTTTCTGCCACGGTCCTCTGCACCTACGTCCTCTACCAAAAATCTAGAGTAAGCAACATTTTTCCGAAATGAAATTTTTTAAATAAGCTTGCATGTCATGCACCGAAATTTGTAGTACATGTCACTTTTGGGAGAATTTCAGGTTGATAATATGAGTTAAACGATTTTCATGAAATTGCCAAACCATATTACTATAACATAATGTTGGAATGAATGCATTATATAAGTTGCGGTCCATTTGATTAAATTATATTCAATGTTAATCACGAGTATTAATCAGTATTATTTATCATTTGCTATAAGAAGTTATATTATAGAATATTAACCTTCCGAAAATGTCTTTCAGAGCTCAGGCTTCTCTGGAACGACTGTGCAGTACCGCAGAGCTGACTTCAGCAACAACTTGGAGTCCATCGCTGAGAACGTTTACGCCTAATACTTTATATACGCCTGATGAATTGTAGACTTAAGACGCCTGATACTTATATTTATATATCTGATAGGTTACATAATCCTGATACATTGTTTAATGCTCTTACGCCCTATCTATGGTAGGTACACGTCTTGTAAACGCCTACCTACTCTTTTGTTGGGGCCTACTCATTTGCATGGGCCTACGCCATTGCATGTGCCTGCATTAATGGGCCCTCTTGTGTAGGTCTGCCTTGCTGTTCATACCGCTCCCCTTTTCCTCTGATCTACTGCACACCTGATATGACGCCTTCTTCCCCACATAAATTAAATTATTGTTCCAGTATTTGAACAATAATAATACCTACGCAAATTGTAGGCTTTCATTGTAAATTGTTTGTAAAATCATATCTTCAGTATACGGTGAAATGCGTTAATAATTTTTTTGCGTTGTCCTCAACAGAATTTCTAGGTGATGTGGAATTGATCTGCTTGCTCGTGCTTTTGATGTGATCTAAGTAAAATTTGATGTGATCTAGATAATTATCTGAACACAACTCGGTACCCCTGGACAATCTATAAGGGTTTATAGACAATCTATAAACCCTTTGATTTTATAGAATAAGTACAGTGGCTATTGTTGTGCAGTAGCTGCAGTTGTGCAGTAGCTACAGTAGCGCAGTAGCTACATTTCCTGTTGCAAATTCAGCAACCCTTCAGTATGTTAATCACATGAGCTAATTTGTTAAAGTTGTTGTATTTTTAAGTCAACTAACGTAAATTCAATTCATATCAACATCAAATGGATTTGTGAAAGTTAAAACCTGCTTTTTCGTGGCAGGTTAAACGTGTTTTTTAGGTCAAGTAATATTATCGTGGTAAGTTATACATNAACGCAGGTGTATTGCACACTTTTTCATCTGAAATTGAATTAAGATTTTTTGTTCGAAATAAAATTGTAAAAAATTGAAATGTTTTATTAATCACCAGATCATCGTCGAAATCCAACAGCTCGAGTATTTAAATGATTAGGAAGCCAGAACCTGCGGGTGCGCGAGGCTTCCGGTTTAATAACTAAAACCTATTTATATCCGGTTTGATAAACAATTGGAAGTAAAGGCAAGAAAATAACCGTGAACTGCATTTTTAGGATATGGTCCAACCTTTTATTATGATTAGAGTCCATTCGAAATTAAAGGAAATTTTGTTTCTCATGTTTCACAATCCCACCAGTGAATTACATGATATGTTATACTTATTAAAAATCTGTAAAATATTTACGTTTCAGTTCAGAAAGAAGCATTTCCTCGTCCTGAAGAGACACATGATTAGATAGTCAAATGCTCCGAATGCATTCAGGGTTTGAAATAAACCATTAATAATATCATTCTCCTACCGTAAACACGCCTCAAGCTGCGGTGTGAAACAGAGGAGACAAACTATCATTTTAATAATACACAGCTTGTTGCCTACGACTGCATATAGCATTTGAACGAAGACGAATTTAATGTGAAGTTTCACATTGTGGGCCTATAAAGCGCACCACGCTTCACGAATACATTTACTTCACAAAACGTTACATATACAAGGTGTCCGTAAAGTCTGAACACATAGTAAAGTAATCATGCAACCGAGTGATTAATCGAGTTCATGCAAGTTTTGTGAAACACATTGAGGTTTGCATTGCAAATTATGGCGCTCATATTGAAGATGTTATTTGAATAAAATTAATAGTGAAAATAAAACTTAATTTTAATTATATACCAAAAATATTCAAATATCCTATGTGTCCAGACTTTATGGAAACCATTTAGAATTTTTACCCCAAATTTTATTTGCGATTTTTCCCTCCTTTTGGATATTGTAATCAACCAAGCTATCAATATTATAATACAAAACATGTCGTGGTGCTGACAGCACGTCTAACTACATATCGATGTTTCGTCCATGTGATCAACATTGGTTTCTCGTGCGTTTTAGCTTCTATTAGATGAACAATAATTTGCCCGTTCGTGAAGTGCTTGATTATTTTTTAAATTGCACGAGAAGACCCAAGTTCTCTGCTGAAGGTGATAGAAAGCACGGAAGAGACGAGGGTCGAGTCGACTAATGCGGCCGTTTCTGCCGCTGATCGTCGCTTGTGCAGGCAAATTCTGGCCGACGTCAGGTTTTAAGTGGCACATAACAGACGCTTTCACGGCCCTAATGCAGTTAGGCGGCGCCCTATGAAGCGCCCCTTCTTGCCCGACGCGTCACAGAGGCGCGCAGGCTGCTGCATCGCCTACATGGGGCTACATATGGGCTTTGCAGAACGCAAACTCCGTTCAGCGATTTGCATTGCAAAGCTTCGGCCGAAAAATAAGCTGTAGAAACGTATTTTTCTAGTTATTTTTAAATTTTCAAAAAACAGTTATTTAGTGGTTTGTTGGAGAAAAAGAACCTATTGACGTTTAATTTTGTTCATGACGTCAGCAATTATTTCTCAATTAATTATCCGGAAATTTGTTTTCATTATACTTCCCAGGTAGGTGAAAAAGTTGCCTATCTATAAATCAAGCCTCTTTCCTCAATAAACGAGTAAACCGACTGAACCCTCAAATTTGCCGAAACTTTGCGGGGTGACCGAAGAGATTTACTTACTGAACGGGAAAGGAGTCTGTTAATATGTTGCAAAGCTCTTGCGCAACGATACTATGTACGGATAATCGAATTTTATACAGCTGTATGTGATTCCGCACGTTCGTATACACGAAATATTTCCTTGTACACAAGTAAGTCTCAGTTCGTGTAGGTCCTTTTTTTTAATTTCATGGGTCTCCTCGTCCGCTGTATTTCTTTTCTTTCATGGGTTTTCCCTGTCTTCGTTTGTTCTCTCTTTCTCCTTAATAAGCTGGGAACAAATTCTGGGTGTTCAAGAGAAGCGTCAAGACAAATAAAGCGGTCTGATGAGCCGGTGTTGCGTTGACAACGGCCGCAGGCATCTCATCAAACAGCAAATAAACGCCTTTCTTTGACAGCAAATCTCACACAGATAGGTCATTTTTCTCTGATATCGGTTTAATTGGAAAATTCCTTTCATTCATGGCAGCAGAAACTTCAATCTAGTCAATCAAAGTGCAATAAAAGCCTCCAATAGAGCGAGGTCAAAGCCTTGCCACTCTTCTGGTCGGTGAGTGTCAAAGTGGAATCATTTGCCATTTTTTTAGCTTAATTTCATAACTACACCACAGTTGAATCCTGTTACCAGAAAACAAGCTGAAATTTATAATTGAACGAGATTGGGAACGTTATCGAGGTTGAATTATTTTGACGCGATAAGGGCTAAACCGAACCTGTTTAAATGTTACCACCTCGTTAGATCAGGCAACGTAATTCATGTTTGAATTTTACCCGAACTCAATTTTAAATAAATCGAGCAGGCACATAGAATTTGTTTATTTATATTTATTTTCGTTACATAATTTCTCCTTAAATTATCGAAATAGGAGGAGAAACCGTGAGTCCATCCACATTGCATGTGTTGTGTGCAACGTTGTACGATTTCTCCGATGCGTCCCCAAACTGCGCTAAATTACACACGTTTCCCACTACTGCAAACGACAACTAATTAATAATGTCAACAATTGAGACTGCATTTCAGTCGCTTAACTGCTGATTTAATAACTGAAATTTGTTCATCTAATCAAGTGCTTCAATCATTTCATCTATGCATGTGTCATTAATTTGGAAAACTCATAAGAAACGACAAACACTGAATAATTTTTTTGATATGAAATGTCATCTTTGAATCCGACTTACGATCTTAGGGAACGCGTATCATTATTATTCTAGATTCAGTGGCAAAACTTCGGATCGGACCGACAAAATCTGCGATGCGTCAGGCTCGGCAACCAATTTAGCGTCGCTGAATCGACAATTTTGCGCGAGCTTTGAGTGATCACACGGCGCGAGGGTTGGACGCGAGGGATCAGACGCTCCCTTACTGCCTATGGAGAGCGTGAGGGGAATGACTGCCTCTCTCTGAATGGTGTTGATTTGGGAGCGAGGGAGTCGCTTCCAACAGCCATATTCCCTCCAGCACCAAGGAATGGTAGACGCTTGTGTGGCCAGCACACAATCCTGCGCTCGATTTTTCCTGCTCACTTGATAAGTAAACTTGAGCATTGGCGCTCACGGTAAGTGGAAACATTCTCGGGCTGTTCTGTTGCTTCTGTTTTCCGTTTTCTCGCAATTTTTCGAACTGAACGAATAAACAGTTGTGGCTATTCAGTAATAATTAACAAAAAAAGTTCTGTATGGCACATTCCTAGCCTGATGCTTATTTATTTCAACTGTAGGGTGTCAAAGGCACCAAACCCGAGAAAGTTTTGATATTTTCATCACAAACTTACTAAACGAGCAAACCTTTTTCCGATCATTGAATGTTGGCTTTAAATTTTAGTTTCATAGAGTTTATTACGCTATTACTTAAATGACAAACGGCATTAAATTAAGACTGAAAATTTACTGAATGTTTTTCTATGTAACTTTTTCTTCGCTATAATACAATAAGCTACAAAGGGAAATGAATATCTTCATTTGATATAATATGTGAATAATATAATTTTCCCTTTCTCGATTGCAATTGCAAGAGCTGAATACGAGTAAAATATCATTATACTTACAAATGAACTCAAGTGCGACCTCCTCCATCTCACACCATTCAAGGCTAAAAAAAATCACCTAAAAATTTTGGTTTCTTCTCACAAGAAAATTGCGTTTTTTGTCCGCCACCGCAGCGAAAAATTATTCCCGCCAATGGCTTGTGAATTCATTTAATAGGAGGAAATTTATGCGGAGAAAATTTTGATAAAAAAGATGTTTGTCGAACATCTTCATCGAGACCAACATGTTTACTATGGCTCATGTCCTCATGTTTACTATGAAATTTTGCTCAATGGCGTAAAGTCGGAGACAATGCATGAATCAATTGACAGAATAAATTATTTTTAAAATGTAAAAAAAATTCTAAACGCATATTATTTAAACTTAATATGGCGTTTAATAGCATTTGATAAATCTATGCTGAACATTTTTTCAACAAAAACGCCAGCGTCTTACTTTTTAAGAGTGCAATTTTTATCCTTTCACACATGACTTTAGTTTAAATTGTTTCGTTTGATATATACAGTAGAATAGCCCGTATAGATACCGGTAGAAGGGCTTGAACTAACTTATGTAATGAACATTTAATGTATATTTCTACATATTCTTTAACATTAAGTTGTATGGTGTTCGAAATTTTGAATGCTTCCGTTATCTCTTGCCGTGGTTGCCACCTCGTGACGGCAGCAGACAAAGAGGTCCTCATGTAAGAGAGACACGTGCACCTAATAACCCTCTGATTGTCGCCACGAGCTGCAGCCCTCTCCCCTCATGTCGGTCCCATCAACCCTCTCTTCATGCCAACGCACCGCTACACATTCCTACTTCCATTCATTTTCTTCTTCTGTAAAACCTTTTCTTTCCTAATTGTTCTTCTTCTCTGAGTTCTCATCTTCTCACTCTTTCGCCTGAATCCTCTTCACCTACAACCCTCAACACTGCCCTCGGCCATCTCTCCTGTCATCTCCGATTTCCCGCTCATTAGGAGCTATAGCTTGGATAGAAAATATTGCCGCAAAGGATAATTAATCCCTGCATTTCTCTATGTTTATTTCCGTAAGAAACATAAGAAAGCTCATCAATAGCCATAAGCTGGCCGTCGGAGAGCAGGCTAATAGTTATCTCAGGAGTGTGCAATATTATTATATAATCTTCTGCCACTATAAGTTTTGCTAAGACTTATTATTTATTCATGAACCCAGAGTTTCAGGTCGCATGCAGACAAGCAATCTGCACGAGTG